TCCCTCACCTCCCTCACCACACTCATCTCGCTCCCCCTCCCCTCCCCCTCCACATCGTCCTCGTCGATCATCGATCCACCGGGTCCTCCTCGTCCATCCTCTCCCGACCCGATCCTAGCGGCTCCTGCCCCCAGGGCCCATCTGAAGGAAAGAACAGGCACCGATGCCGCTGCGCCCCAGACCTCCAAGGGTGCGATCTGACCAGAACTTCGACGCAACTCCAGCCGTGGCGGCGAGGGCCTCCCCTGAGGCCCCAAATAAGAAAAAACGAGGGAAGGGTCGCAGTAGTATCGGTAATTACCACTTCCTCCCCCCAGTCCTCCCCAGATCCCCGACGTCATGAACTTCGACGCTAAAGACGGAACTGAGAGGGTACACCAGGCTCCCATGAGTTGCTGCCGAGGACACGCACGTTCACATCGGAACCCGGAGTCGAATCGAGTAGGAATCCGCATCGGGCGAAATCGCAATCAGATCGGATCGCGATCGTCCGAGGAGTCGACACAGGCCCTTGCCGTCGCTCGGACGTAAATTTCCCGTGCATTGTTCGGTTTCGTGCGTGTTTTTTGTTGCTCGATGGTCCAGGATGGTCCTCGATGGTTCTCGCCGAGAAATGCACACGTCCGAGCGATGCCAGGAGCCCTGGGTCCGTAACCGGCCCTGGCCCCCCCCCCCCACCCCACTTCCCTCCGCCCCCCCCTGGCCACGCCACGCTTCGCGCCTGCACCGCCCAGGGAAGGAGCCATGCCAGGTCCTTCCCGCGCAGCGCCGCTCTGAATCGTGACGTGACCAGCTCCCTCCCTAGGAACAAGGAAAGGCGACACCAACACCAACAGGGCGAGGAGATGAGAGGGGGCAAGGGGAACTCCCTGGTGGTGTGGCCCCCCTCTCTCGCTCGAGACATCCCCAGCCTCCAGCTCGGAGAGGCATCGTGGACCTCCTCGCTGGCGGTGGGCCCCCTGGTGGTGTTGGTATCGCTTCTCCTCCCCCCGACTCCCCTACTCTCTTTTTTCTTCGTTTGTAAGCTCAGGAAACCTCGATTCCAGCTTTTTCTAATTATGCGTTGAGTTTCAACACTCAGAAGGGAGCTCACGCGATGCTTCGTCTAGTGCGATTGCCTCCCCCGCTCTCCCCCTCCCCGCTCACGCCCGCTACCGCCAGGGGAAAGCCAAAAAATGTCTGGAGGCAACTTGCATGAGCTTTGGTCGCCCCCACGGCGCCCCATAGCGCGCCCGTTCGCGCGCAAAACGGCCGTGCTGCATCTCCCTCACACGGCGCTGCTGGGCGCTGCTGGTCGCCAGTGGGTGCTTCCTGCACGCTGCTCGGCGCTAGTGGGCGCCACTAGGGCTAGGTCGGGCCTGTCCCCCTACAGGCCGATTTTCGACGAAAAATGAAACATATTACAAGAATGTTCCAAACAGGTCAAAACTGATAATAGAAAAATCGTCCCTGTACTATTCTTTGAGTATTTTCGAATACTCCTCTTGTAGAGGGACAGGCCCGACTCAACACCGGGGGGGGGCGCTGCCTGGCGCCGTGGAGCGCCACGCCGAGCGGCGGCTTGCGCGAGGGACGACATTGTGGCGGCGAGCCCACAAAGGGGGGGCAGGGGGGGAGGGGGGAAGGCTTCCCAGAAGGAGCCCGCTTCTTCGAGGAGTTACGACATGTAGCGGCGAGCCCACAAGGGGGGGCAGGGGGGGAGGGGGGAAGGTTTCCTAGAAGGAGCCCGCTCCTTTGGGGAGTTACGACATGTAGCGGCAAGCCCACAAGGGGGGGCAGGGGGGGAGGGGGGAAGGTTTCCTAGAAGGACCCCGCTTCTTTGGGGAGTTACGACATGTAGCGGCGAGCGCGCAAGGGGGGGCATGGGGGGAGAGGGGAAGACTTCCTAGAAGGAGCCCGCTCCTTTTGGGAAGTTACGAGTTTTGGCGGCGCGCACAAGGGGGCAGTTCCTAGAAGGAGCCCGCTTCTTAGAAAAACTGGCGCGTTTGGAGGCTTGGAAGTGGACACCAACACCAACGCAGGGGGGTCCCTCCACCGGGGGGAGATGATCCTAGATTTCGGCGTCCGATGTTGGGGAAACCAGAGAAGGAACCGATGCCGCTACTCCCCCGACCTCTCCCGTGGTGCGTCATGACCAGAGATTCGAGGCGAACCCAGCGGTGACGACGAGAGCCTCCCAGGAGGCCCGGAACAGGGGAGAACCAGGCGAGGGTTATGATGTTCCAACCTGTTTTAGCCTTGATCACCAGAAAAAAAAGAGCACCAAAGAAGTACCGAAACTGGGTTTGTTTCACGTGTCGGGCCCTGGGAGCTCGATTTTGCTTCTGGGATATAGTCCTTAAGTGCGATGGGAAACAAAAGGCAAGGGTAGCGGCATGGGAACCTTTTTCCTCCTCTGCTTCTCAGGAGAACTGGCGCTCGGGTCCCCGACTTCCCGCGGCGCCTCGTGCTGCCGCCCCGTGTCCCACAGCTCGTCGTCCTCCTCGTTCTGGTGAAGCTCCTCCTCCTCCTCCTGCAGATCCTCCTCCTCCTCCTCCTCCTTCTCCTCCTCCTCCATTCGTTCTCCTTTTCCTGGTGAATAACGTTTCCCTGTCACACCCTGAAGCCAGTTTGTAGGGCGGCCCGGGCGTTTCGCTGGAGACATCCTCAACACCTACGAACCTGAAACTTCAACATTCGCAACAGCTTCACAGCTGGAGGGCGGGTCGTTAACAACATGTGGCTCTCGCCTAAGCGCCGCGCACATTCGTTCTAAACAGATTCCAAGAGTTCCACAGACTCCCATGATCAGCGTACCAGAAATGGCTTTGGAAGGACTCAGGATCATGAGGATGCAGCAATTACTTTGATTCGCAGTGTTGAAATCCCAAGAATGGCGTTCTGGCACGATCAAAATTGTCAAGACGCATCAGTCAGGTTGATCCGTGCCGCGGGAACCCCGAGAACCATGTTGTGGCATACTTCAGGGTCTTCAAACGGTTGTCTTCAGACGGGGCAGTTCCCCCAGTGGAAATTAACCGTTGCAGGGGCATGTGAAGAGGGAGCTTGGAGGGAGGGTTTATGTCCCAACACCGTTGATGACTCTTGGGTTCACCCTGGTCCTCCTCCTCCTCCTCCTCCTCCTCCTCCTCCTCCTCTCTCTCATCCTCTCTCCGTGACGACCGCCTCCCCGCTGCGTTCCCGCGGCGCCTCGAGCTGCCGCCCAGTGTCCCACAGCTCGCCGTAGGCGGCCGCCAGGTGCGCCAGCACCGCGGCGGCCTTTCGCGGCGCCGAGGCGCCCGCGGGTGGGGGGGGAACGCCGCCGCGCTCCCGCTGACGCTTGCGGGGGGTCGGGAAGGACGAGGAGGGAGGAGCCCAGGATCGATGGCCCTCAGAACGTGTGTCATTCTCATCATCAGAATCATCAATAGCATCATCAACAAGATCATCATCATCATCAGCATCATCAGCATCATCATCACCATCATCGTCAGCATCAGCATCATCATCAGCATCATCATGGTCAGCATCCTCATCATCATCATCATCAGCATCAGCATCATAAAACATCATCACCATCACCATCAGCACCAACATCAGTATCATCAGCATCATCAGCATCACCACCATCATCATAATCAGAAACAGCAGCATCAGCATCAGCAACAGCATCAGCATCAGAAACATAACATCATCATCAACACTATCATCACCATCACCATCATCAGCATCCGCCTCGTCTTCCTCCTCCTCTTCCTCCTCCTCATCATCAGCATGATCATCGTGATCAGCATCAGCAAGAGCACCAGCAGCATCATCATCAGCATCATCGTAATCAACAACATCATCACATTCGCTTAAACATACACCATCACCATCACAATCAGCATCACCGTCATCATCAGCAGCAGCATCATGTTCAGCATCATCATCCTTACTAGCAACATCATGATCGTCACCAGCATCATCAACAGCATCAGCAGCATCATCATCATCACCATCACCATCACCATCATCACCATCATCATCATCATCATCATCATCATCATCATCATCATCATCATCATCATCATCATCATCATCATCATTATCATCATCATCATCATCATCATCATCATCATCATCATCATCACCATGACCATCACCCTCCTCATCATCATCATCAGCAGCATCATCACCATCAAAAACAGCAACATCACAACTGTCATCATCATCACCATCACAATCAACATCGCCATCATCGTCACCGTCATCATCACCAAAAGCCCGCGCTCTTGCCCCACCCTGTTCGGTGCTTGAGGCCGCCTGCGTTCCCCTCACCCGCCGACCCTCGGGGGGGGGGGGGGCACACCACCAGGGGGGCCCTTCGCCTCCTCCTCCTCCTCCTCCTCCTCCTCCTCTCTCCTCCTCCTCCTCCTCCAGCTCTGGCCGCTGCTCCCCCCGCCCGCATCCTCCTCCTCCTCCTCCTCCTCCTCCTCCTCCTCCTCCTCCTCCTCCTCCTCTTCCTTCCTCCCTTCCGCCCTTCCTCCGCGGCCGCCACCCGCCGCCGCGCTGCGTGGCTGGCGCGTCCCTCCCGTACTGGTCTCGTGCCTGCTGTCGCAGACGCTGCTGGTTGGAAGAGTGCCAGCTCGCCGACATGCGCATTTGTCCACCGAGGCCCTTCAACTGCGACGCAGGCGCAACGCGGGCCGACACAGGCTGCTCCTTCTCCCTCCTCCTCCTCCTCTTCCTCCTCCTCCTCTTCCTCCTGCTCCTCCTCCTTCTCCTCCTCCTCTCCTCTCTGCTCCTCCTCCACCTCCTCCTCCTCCTCCTCCTCCTCTTCCTCCTCCTCCCCTTCCCCCTCCCCCTCCTCTTCCCCCTCCTCCTCTTCCCCCTCCTCGTCCTCCTCCGCCTCCTCCTTTTCCTCGTTGTGTTCCTTCTCCTCCTCCTCCTCTTCCTCCTCCTCCTCCTCCTCCTCCTCCTCCTGCTCCTCCTCCTGACAGGGTGCGTGCCGCCGTTGAAGCTGAGCTGGGTAAACACACGCTGGACCAACACTTTTTACGCCGGCGGCTAGGCAGAGTCACTGCGCTGGCGATTCCACAAATCGGAGATTGCCGGGAACCGAACTGTGCCACGATGCAAGAGGGGGGACGAGACAACGTTGGGCTAACACACGTCCGACGAATCATCGGCAAGGGGCGGAAGTGGGGAGCCGGCTCATGGGAGGCCTTCGTGGGAACGGCTGGCGGCTGACAATAAACCATACTTTTTTGGTTCGGCAAGCTGTCGGGCCCACGGCGGGCCGTACCGTCAGCATGCGCGCCATGCAACAGATAGCATCGCCGTGAGCGAAGGCAACAAAAACGACCCTCGTCGAGGACAAGGAAAACACTACAGGACGGCATGGGAACGAAAACGCCAGACAGCGCGAACAATCCCATCAGGCCCGTGGAGATAGACTGGGAACCTCGCTACTCCCTCCTCCTCCCTCCTCACCCCACGTCACTCTAACCGACCAACATAAGACAATTCGCGCCTCGTCCCCCGCCTCCTCGCTCCTCGCTCCTCGCTTCGGACAGCTTCACGGAGCAAGCCTGCCGCCAGCTCTGCCGCTGGAAGCCTCCCTTACCGTCATGCCATCTGAGCATGCCTTTTACTAAAAATTCCAGTTCTGGGCTTCCTTGGGAGCCTCTTCGGCCGTCTCGGAGCGATCTGAAGTGCCTCTGACGCCGTCCGGGACCGTGGGGAGGCGGAACATGCGA